CAGCCGAAGAGAGATGCTGGCGGACGAGGGCCTCTACGCGGGACTCTATAAGGGTTTCAAGGTCTGCGTCATTGATAGCGGGGAGGGTGAAGTCGAGTACATCGAAGGTGACGGGTCGGATAGAGGGGAAATAGCGGTGGAAGAAGATGAGGTTTAGGACACCTGGACGAGATTAGTTTCTAACCAATGTGCTTGGATCAAGTAGGTGTCAGGCGATTCCATTCTCCAGTACCTTTCAGCACGTCGCGCACGGTGGTGGTGTCGGCGAAGATCTCCAGGAAGTACTCCGGAGGGGTTTTGCGGGGCTCCATCCCCGCCCGCGAGGACCGGCCCAGCACGCGGACCGGAGGGGTATTGCGTTTGTTCCGGCGAGAAGTAGACTGGAGACAGGAGAGTGGGCGCGAGGAGCAGGAGTCGCAGTTTCACAAGGTTGAAGGGAGCTCGAAGTGTGGGAGAATGTAGAGTGGCAGTGAGTGGTGTTGCATAGAGAGGGGGTCAGATAGCTTGGGTGGAGTGATGATGATGCCGATGCGTTCGGGGCGGTTTCTGTCGGCCATTAGGATCGGACTGGGCCGAATGGGGCTTATCGGCTTATCATTGGTCGGGGCATTTCTAGGGATGTGTCAAAGGAGAGGAGCTTTTTGGGTAGTGAGTCAAAGGGATAATATGTCTAGGGGAACTCGGAATCTTTGCTATTGCTGAGTGTTCTCTGGACTACGGTAATCCATAGGTACCACCATCTCCAACCTTACCTTACACCCCCCCCCTCGTTTTGATCTTGACCAGCTGAGATATCAGTCGACCAATTAGAGATGAACTATTTAGCTGAGGTAATACCTGGTGCTATGTAATTTCCTTTTTTTATTTCTTTTTATTTCAATTATCGTAATAATCCCTGCCCTCGTAGTTGATTTTGGTTGCGTAATGAATCATCTCTACAGTACAGTATTTCCTCAGGGGCAGCCCAAAAGAAAGAATAAAACCTTGGAAGCAGCAAAACAGCGGCCGAAAGCAGACAAAAGGGATTTCTTCTCTGGAATCTGGGAGCTTCTCCGGATCTACCAATAACATCGACACTTTCATGGAAATGTCCCCACCCGCTTAGCAATCTTCGTCCACTGCCACTCCAAAATAGAAGGAAGGTCCAACCTTGGAATTTCTAATTCGCACGATCTTGCTGAACATTATATAGACGTCAGAAATGGCATCTTCAGGCCGAACATTGGTAATCCGGAGAGTTTTGTCTCTTGACGTCCTCGCTGTCGGGGGAATTAATAATGAACATGCTTGATCCATAGATGTCATCGCAACGAGACGGTTATAGATGGCAAAATGGTATAAGTATCTCAGGAGAACCTTCTTTTGATGTTCCTCACAGTCCACTGAAAATAGCTCAGCCGACCTCAGCTTCATTAAGTAGAGTCCTGACCGAACATCTCATTCCCAATGGCTACCAGCAAGACACAAGTTCTCGTCGTGGGCGCCACCGGATACATGTATGTGCAGCTCACCTCGCCACCAACATCGCCAACATTGACGATGACCCTCGAATAAAAAACTAATCCGACTTATTTTGGATCAGCGGTGGATCGATTCTCTCTGGGATTCTGCGCTCATCACAGGCCTCTCGATTGAGTATCTCTGCTCTAATCCGTCGCCCCGAGCAGGCGGCCAAGTTGGAAGCCCTAGGAGTGAAGCCATTGCGATTCCAGGGCTTAGATGACCTAGAAGCTTGCAAGGATGCAGCCTCTAAGCATGATGGTATTGAATTTCATCTGTTTACTGTATGCCTTTTCTCCATCGCTAACATTTTCAGTTGTGATCAATGCCGCATCCGCATCCCATGACAGTTCCGCTAAGGCCCTGATTGAAGGCTTGGCCCTCAGAAAGAAGGCCACAGGAAAGGATGCATATATGATTCACGTAAGACCTTCGATAAATAGAGGTAACCATCAAAGCAAAAGCTAATTTATTTCAGACATCCGGCACCTCAATTCTGGGTGATCATCCCTACACCGGCACGGCGCAGAACGCGAAAATTTGGTCCGATGAGAAGGATGATATTTACTCCATGGAGAAGGGACATCCCGAAACCTACGGACAGCGCGTCACCGACGTTGTTGTTGTCGAGGCAGGAAAAGGTCTTGGTATTCAAACTTACATTGTGGTTCCTCCCACCATCTGTACGTCGAAGATGCCCTTCCCATATGAGATTGAATATTTTGCTCATATTTAACAGATGGAAAGGGATCAGGCCCATTTGCGACCCTGAGTCAACAGGTCCCCAATCTTGCACGTTTGGCACGGAAGCGTGGATCCACACCAGTGATTGAAAGTGGCAAAGGCGTAAGTGATGACAGGCCCCTTTATACTATTGATTGTCTGACCAGCTTATTTTCAGATTTGGAACCATGTGCACATTGACGATCTTTCTGACTTTTACCTTCGCCTCTTCCGTGCTGTCGTTGAAAAGCAAAGCTGGCTTCCTTCAGGCCCCGAGGCTATCTTCTTTGTCGAAAGTGGCGAGCACACATGGCTTCAGGTTAGCCAGGGAATTGCGGATGCCATGCACAAGCGAAAGCTCCTGGCGACAAACAACGTCCAATCAATCAGTCTCAAAGAAGCAGCTGAGGCAATTACCAATGGCAGTGAGAGTAAAGCAGAGATCTCTCTCGCATCGAAGTATGTGAATTCCCCATAGCCTTTTTCATTTCTATACTAATAATTTTGCTAGTTCAAGAGCTCGGGCTGATTTCGCTCGGAACAAACTTGGTTGGAACACGAGTCGTGGACTGGAGGATTTCCTGAACCATTTCGATGGCGAGGTGGAAGCTATGCTGGACGAGCTAAGTGGCTAGGCTATCACGAGAAAAGTTCAATGCATTCTGCATAGCTACTCATTGAGATCTGAGATATCTCATGAGAGCAATAAATTGGAACTGTTTGCTATTTGGTTACCTACTATTGCCGAGCAATTATGGAACAGTAGCAGGACATGTGACAGACTCGTATTTGTACCTGTTACTTACGACGAACATGATGCTGCGGGTGCGGGGAATCATACTGCGATGACTCATGGTAATCAAGTTAACGAAATACAATTCCTAGTCACTATCAGTTCAAAGGAAAAACCGCTTGTCTAACTAGACTTTTCTTCTTCAATTACACGGTGTGCTCCGAATTTAAAGTCCCTCAATGGTAATGGGTAATCATTGGGGACCTTATTGACAATGAATTTCGAAAACACGGGTATCGGTACTATGATGTGATAGCCTTGGCTTTAGTTTCTAGTCCGCTTACTCGCATAGTGTCTATATTTTTTAATACACACCGGTGGATGTATACTCCCATTCACATTGGATCGTCATAGTTAGTGGATACTACGTTGACTCCGCACCTGCAAACTTCAACCTCTTCTCTCAACACCCCTTCAGTCATGGGCAAATTCTTTGATTCTATTTCCGACGACCTCGGTCAATGGGCATTACGACAGAGAGTTTTCTTCGTGGCCTCTGCTCCTCTACGTGGCCGGCATATCAACCTTTCTCCAAAGGGCCTACCGGATTCTTGCCTTGCCATCCTTGACCCCAATCAAGTGGCCTACATCGATTCAACCGGGTCTGGATGTGAAACTATTTCCCATCTGCGCGAAAATGGTCGCGTTACTTTGATGTTCTGCTCGTTCGATGCTTCTCCTCGTATCATGCGGCTCTTTTGTACTGGGTCTGTTATTGAGTGGGACCAGCCCGAGTTTCCTGCATACTTGAAGCGTATGGGCAAATCGGAGGTTGCTGGAGCTCGTGCTGTCATTAAACTTGATGTTTTCAAGGTTAGAATTCCCCTCGAGGTTAAATCTGATTTATCTAATGTTCTAACGATTGACCTAGGTGCAAACATCTTGCGGCTATGGTGTCCCGTTGCTAGCCTTGGACACCGACTCCGAATCCGACGAATCCAAACCATATCTAAAGGACCGTGAGACATTGAGTCGTTATGCCGTCAAGATGGTTAGCTCGGGGAAGACGCAAGAATATCAGCAAGAATGCAATAATCGCAGCTTAGATGGACTCCCGGGTCTTCAATCTGCACTCAGAGATGGCGGGAACCCTATCTGGCGGCTGAAGTTGGAAAATTGGCTGAATCAACATAGAGATGAAGTCAAGACAGTGAAAGTATTGGCGCTTCTTTTGATAGCAATTTTGATGGGATTAAAGTGGCATATAGCCATATAGTCGTAGATGACTATAAAGTTGGGTAAAACTTTTGTAACTACAAGAATTAGCTGTCAGAAGCCTTGACTGTCTCGATAATCCCATCTCCACCATCAACCGATTCCCAGAATCCAACTACCTGAAGCCTAACCACCTCCAGAAAAACCACTGCAACCTTCTTCATCCATCCCGCAGCTAACCGCCATTATAGCTTTATCTAGCTGCACCTCGAATGGTGATCAGGAAGAACCTTAGAAGAAGATGCCCTGCCACCATTTCCCTTAAATTGTGGCCCACTTCAAGCGAAAATGTCGTTTTGGGCGCCTTCGAGGTAAAAGAAAGCCATTAGCATTTGCTTTTCTCCATGTTACCAAAGAAATGGGGCATATCACATACCAGTTTCCCATCCCCATGCCTTGTTGTACATGGGTGTCTTGCCATCGGGTACTTGAACATTGTTCCCAGTTTGCTCTGTTTCATAGTTAGCTAAAGCAAACATCTGTCTTCGAATCATTTATCTTACGGTTGAAGGCAATCATCTGCTTGGAACCTTTGACACACTTTGTAGTGTCATCATCACAGTATTTGGCGATCTGAGCTGGCGCGACCTTTTTGGACGATGTTGATTGAGTTACGTTGCATTTATAACCGGCCATGTACCTGTTTTGGGACGATCATTTAGCAACTCGGTAGAACAAGGGTGTAGGGCCAAGACTCACATATTCGGTTGTCCACATCCATTCGGAGCCTAAGAAATCGTTAGTTTTGTACTGAGACCTAGGGGATTCATCAACCTACCCAGAGCCATGCGCAGGTGCAGCCACCCTCTGGGCAGGCAGGGAGATCGGCGGGGACCTCATAAGTAGCCTCACGCTTCCATGGAGTGCTAGGGAAAAGAAATCAGTCGATGGAATTTGTTTCCTGTATCTTTGAGAACTTACTGCTCCAGAACAGTGAACACAGCTAGATTTTCCATTGTGACCTTGCTCAAGTCAGACTGGTAGCTGATGGCAAATGCGGTACCGGCAGCCGTGGACTGATTGTTGGTATGCATTGCCCCATCATCCTGAATACATTCAGGTGGGTTTCCAGGACCAGCCCAGTCTTCTGGGTGGTCTTTTCCATCCGGCCAAGCAGAACTATACTTTCCGTCGTAGGAAAGCGTGGTTTGGGCCCGGTTGTGGGCCAGCTCGACAGTGAACTTGCCGCCAGCAGGAAGTTCAAGTATGTCGCCGTCCGCCGGTGGTGCAGCATCGCAGCCGCGGTCGTGCTGGAACCACCAATCCTCCTGGGCGAGGTTGTATAGAGGTGCGACCGCTGTGTTGGTATTGGCGTTGTCGGTCGAAAGATCTGGACCGCCGAAGCAATACATGCCTTTGGTCCAGGCAACTGTATGTGCCTGAGCCACAGCAGTCAGTGCTAAAAGAGTGGCCACTTTAATCATCTTGAATGAAAGTTGAAGAAAAAAAGGGGATTTTTGTAAAGAATGATGTTGCTGTGTTGACAGAGGTTTCGCCGGATGCTGCAGATTATATAGTTGAGCAGCAATAAATAATGATGACTGAACAAGATCGAGAACAACTACTAGTACTATGAGTAACTAGTCACTCTTGGCTTGAAGTTTATAATCCTACCTTGGAAATTATGGATTAGAAAGACCCTGTTCAATTAACCCCTTGATCCTCTGCTGTTTCAGGCTCATATGAAAGCCTGAATAGATGAAAGTGGCCCCACATGGGGTGCTTCAAGATCTGAACTGGAGATGTCAAACAACCAATGACCTTGGCCATCGCATCAGGAAAGTCAGAGTCGACCACCTGTAGTTTGCTGTTGGCGAGAACGACCCGAAATGGAAACTGGTGTTTTCCTCTGCCGGTCTGTGGGCTGAAATCCCGAGCGATGAAAACAAGATCAAGTCCACGGGCCTTCGTGAGTTAGCGCCAGGCTCAGATAAATCAGAAACAAATATGTACAAACCTATATATTTCATGCGAGCTAGGACAAACTCAGGTATTGCACATATACCTCTTCATTCAACCTCAGATAATCAACATCACTCCAGGGCATTTTATTTTAGTAATGGCCCCTCTCGAGAAAAAAAGTCTCTCCAGTCCACTTTCTGGGAAATTCTTGTTTTTCGAGGAGACATAATGTCGGAGCTGCTCATCTGCTACTTTTCCTCTTGTTTGGAGTGTTTTCTGTTGTACCGCGGTCCATTGTGTTAAAGCGGCATGAAGGGATTACCTCATCAGGACCAAATCACACCAAATCCGGGGTTGCCGCTGAAGGATAGCGATGTTTTAAGAGGTTCGAGTTTATTGAGGAAAAAGTGATGATTGAAATTATCAAGAATCACTCCAACACAGGTATTTAGGCATCATGCTTAGGGAATTTTAAGGGAAAAGACCATGTGGTATAAACATGAAGTGGTTCGATCACAATCTTCTCCGCATCGAGGCTAGCCGAGGCCGCTCCAACTCCCCCGGCCCTCCACGATCGGCAAACAACCTCCCTCCTCCGTCGCACATGGTCGGGTTCTGGCATCAACACCTGCCATCCTGCCATCTATTCTTTTCATCTACAAAATACCATGATCGGGGCCACGAGGCGCTGGTTCCAGCGCAATCGCAAGGGCCTTGCGATCGGGGCCGGCGTGCTTGGAGCAGGTTACCTGGCCGGGCAGTACCTATTGTCCAAGATTTCCGAGGCGCGTGAGCGCATGAGCAGTGATCGAATCGCAAAAGAGAAGTAAGTTATTCCTCACCTGTCATATCTACCCCGTTCTCCAGACCACCCCGCCGGCCTGTCGGCTTGCCCGCCAGCTCATGACGGATCCAATCCCTCCCCAACCACATCGAGTTTCGAGTCTAGACCTTGGCTAACCATCAAATAAACAGTCTGCGACGACGTTTCGAACAAAACCAAACCGACTGCACCTACACCGTCCTTGCCCTACTACCCACCGCAACCGAGAATGTCATTGAAGCGCTCCCCGTGGAGGAGCTCACCAAGGAGCTACAGAAGAAGCGGGCGGAGAGGCTGGCTCGCATCAGTGCCGGAGAAGGTACAGGCTCGGACATGAGCTCTGTAGCCCCAAGTCTACCCGAGGATGACCGCAAGAGCCTCTCCAGCTTCCAGAGCGAGGGATTTGTGCATGCCAGCCAGGTGGGGGAGTCCGCGGAGTCGGAAGAACAACCTCGAGTGAAACGAAACAAGACCCAGCTGTGGAACGAGGTCAAGATCACATGTATGTGTGGCTACTGGGATTTGAGCATGTTCCTCCCTCTCAAATACTAGCGGCTAACCTATGTACAGCCATCACCCGATCCTTTACCCTCATTTATACCCTCTCGCTGCTCACCATCTTCACCCGCATCCAACTCAACCTCCTCGGTCGCCGAAACTACCTCTCCAGTGTCATTTCTCTGGCTACTCCCTCGGCTGATTCACCCATCAGCCTTGAAGACCATGATGATGATGTCACTCAAACCCTGGGCGATGATTTCGAGACAAATCGACGATACCTTGCTTTCAGCTGGTGGCTACTTCACCGTGGGTGGCAGGAGTTGATGGAGCGCGTTCATCCCGCCGTGGAGGAGGTCTTTGGTCCTCTCAACCCACGTGAGGATATCAGTCTCTCCAAGCTGTCGGAGTTGACTCTTCAAATCCGGAAGAAGGTCGAGGGTAATACCGAAGACGAGCGACGGTGAGCATTAAGCATAAAATCCGAATATACCCTTTCACCAGTGCTAACCGAAACAATTTCACAGATCTAAGAAATGGCTTTCATGTCTGCTTCCGCCTACGGAGGAAGAGGAGACTGTTCTGCGCGAATCGGGCGTGGAGGGAGTGGCAGACCCTTCCTCCTCGCAGACTGCGTCCAAGTTGCGCCATCTCCTCGATGAGACTGCTGATTTAATCGACTCTCCTTCCTTCTCCTTCGTCTTGACTCTTCTCAACAACGAGGGTTTCTCCACCCTTGTTGACCAGAAGTGCGCAAACGAGGCATTCAAGACCTCGGCTACTGTTCCCGAAACTGCACCTCAGTCATTCGACTCTATCGCCACCGTTATCCCGCCTGCATCAGAGCGCAAGACAAAGCTTGCTAACTTGCTTGCTGTCATGGCCCGCCAAGCGCACGTTATCGGTAATGGCTCACACCAGCCCAATGAGTATCTCGGCCCCATGGAGCAGAACGTCCGCGAGCTGGAAGCATTCTCTGCAGTCATATATAGCTCCAACTTTGATCTCGAGCTGCTCGGTGCCAACCGTAAGGATGTGCCTACCGAGGCTGGAGACTCCCCTTCGGTGAACCTGGAATCATCTACATTTGCACCAGTGATGGTGGATAAGGAGATTGATACCGAGGAAATTTCCCAGAGTGCTCCTGTTCTTGTCGAGAAAGAAGAGGCAGAAGAGGAGGTTATTTCCCCTGCTGCCCAAGAACAGACACAGGAGGTTGGCGTAGAGGCTGGTGTTGAGGTTGGCGCGGATTCGGCCTTCGAGCGTGCTTGGGGCAAGGCCACAGATGACGAGCCCGCCACAAAGACCGAGACTGAAGTTTGATTTATCTACTCGCTTTTCATCATGTTTCTTGACAATACCCTTTTTTGTGATTACGTGTCACTGGGCGCCACTGTCTTAGACTGGGTCGTGCTAATGATTATATGTCTATACTTGCTAGATACATTTCTACTCTGCATTTTCCGGTTTCTTGTCATGTCATTTTTTCTATACAATTCACTATGCTTATGCCTAGGTTACGGTGTAGTCGTTCTAACGCTCAATACAATGGAATTCTCACGTCATCTTAGCACATTCATATTCATTCAGACACCGGTATGGCGTAGTACTAGTAGTACATCAAAGGTAGTAGCAGGGTGCCTTTTTGATCGCTTCATTCTGTCTCAAGGGCATCTAATTCCCTTGAGTTCCGTTGACATCATATACCTTCTTGCCCCGATACCACGTCTGAGCCACCTTTGCTTGGAGAAGTGTTTCGGGTGACCAATCCATATCGACAACCAAAAAGTCCGCACTCAATCCTTGCCTCAAACTACCCGTCCAAGAATCAGCAAACCGAGCATAAGCTGCTCCAGTGGTGGCGGCAGTAGCAGCTTCGGCCAAGCTGAGTCCAAAGTGGGCATTAACAGTGTTTGTGGTCTCTGGCTCAAGCGCTGATCGTCTAGTGGTAGCATTATAAAGATTCGGGAAGGGGAAATGACGCGCAGTAGGCGCATCAGTTCCAATAGCGATAGGTGCACCGCCATCCAAGAACTCCTTGTACGCAAAGGCACGCTTGCAGCGATCAGGCCCGACCAGAGTGGGCCATGCTTTGAAAAGAGCTGGATCCGAGTGAACGGGCTGGATAGAGGCTGTGATACCGAGCTCGCCAAGACGCTTTGCGTCCTCTGAGGTGCTCATTTCGAGATGCTCGATTCTATGCCGTCGGCCTGGGGTGCCGACTTCTGCCAAGACGTTGATGGATTGGTTGATGGCTTTGTCGCCGATAGCGTGAATGGCACATTGGAGTCCAGCTGCGTCGGCGCGCTGAACGACTTCTTTCAGCTTATCGGCTGGCCAGATTGGCTCCACTGGGTCCGATTTGCCGGTGTATGGTTGTAAAAGGGCGGCAGTGCATCCGTCAACAACACCATCGCAGATTAGTTTGATGCCAACCACAGTGAAGCTAGGGTCCTTGTACTGCTTGTTGAGTGCGATGGCTCGGTCGACAAAGCTGAAATTTGTTTGTTGGTCATCCGTGTACGGGACGAGCCAGTGCGCTGCGATGTGGAATGGGACATTATTCTTTTGGCGATATTCCTCTAGAAGCGTCCATGTTTCCTCGTCCATAGCCATATCGACAATTCCAGTATATCCTGCGGCCGTATAAGAAGAAACTGCAATGTCCAGAGCACCGATTTTGTCTTCAGTGGAATAGAGACCCTCCACAAATGGCCAGGCCAGGTTCATGAGAGCGGATTCATCCAGGAGACCAGAGGCCTTTCCAGTCTCATCTCGGTGGATAGTACCACCGGGGAGGTCGGGGGCTGCATGGGCCCCCATTTCATCCAGTGCAGCGGAATTACACCACATAGAATGAAGATCGAACGAGTCAATCAAGATCGGTCGAGAATCAATACTATCCAGCATGCTCGCAAGGGCAACACCGTTGGTAGTAGATTGAATCCATCCTCGGCAAAGAATACGAGGTACGGATGGGTTTGCTGTCGCGTATGATTTGATAGTTTCTTGGATCTGCTCAAGAGACGTGCATTCGATGAGGTTCACTTTACGCAGTGAGTGGCCATAGTGCAGAATATGCACGTGGGCATCAATGAAGCCCGGGACCACGACACGATTCTCCAGATCAACAACTGTGGCGCCATTGGGAATTTTGGTATCGTCAAGTGACCCGACATATGAGATCTGGTCATTCTCGAC